CCTAAGCAACAAAAATGGGTGGCTAAATTGCTTGGATATGACTATGAGATCACATACAAACCAGGCCGAGAGAACAATGCAGCTGATGCACTATCAAGAGTGTCGGGAAGTCCTAGTCTTGATGCTTTATTTGTGTCTCAAACTCCATTATGGGATACAATTAAGGCCGAAGCTCGTGACCATCCTTACATGAAGAAAATCAGCAACTTAGCAACTGCACAACCAGACACTCCTTACACTTGGCGTCACAGAGTGGTTCACTACAAAAACAGGGTGGTGGTACCTCCAAATTCTAGCATTATCAAACAACTATTGCGGAATTTCATGATTCTCCAATGGGGGGGCATTCTGGCGTACTCAAAAAACATACAAGAGGTTAGCACAACAATTTTATTGGCCATCCATGCACCGGGTAGTGAAAGAGTATGTTGCCTCTTGCGAATGAAAGCCGAAACTTTATCTCCTGCTGGACTTCTACAACCATTGCCGATTCCATGTCAAGTTTGGGACGACATCATAATGTATTTCATCGAGGGCCTTCCACCTTGAAATCGCAAAAATACAATTTTTGTTGTTGTTGACCGACTAAGCAAATCAGCTCACTTCCTAGCTCTCTCTCATCCGTATACAGCAAAGGTGGTGGCTGAGAAATTTGTTGAAGGGGTTGTCAAACTACATGGGCTGCCTTAGTCCATCATAAGTGATCGTGACCCAGTGTTCATAAGTCATTTTTGGCAAGAGTTCTTTAAGATGTCTGAAACACAATTGAAGATGAGCTCCGCCTACCATCCACAAACGGATGGACAATCGGAAGTGGTAAACCGATGTATTGAACAATATCTTTGGTGTTTTACTTATCAACAGCCTCGACGGTGGCATTTTTTCCTCCCATGGGCCGAATTCTGGTATAATACAGCCTACCATGCCTCCACGGGAATGACTCCCTTTCAAGCTCTATATGGATGACTACCACCCACCATTCCACATTATCATGAAGGCTTATGCTCCGTACACGAAGTGGATCAAAGTTTGGCTTCTCGGGACGAGATATTAAGGCAACTCAAAGGAAACTTGCATGTAGCAAATAATAGAATGAAGCAACAAGTAGATTCTAAATGGCGGGACATCGAATATCAAGTGGGAGAAATGGTGTTTCTGAAACTACATTCTTACCGCCAACAATCTGTCATGCCCCTAAACCGGGGTTAGTGACGTGGATGCTCGTTTAGAAACTTAAACCTATTTGAGAGAGAGTGATTAGCAAAATAATTTAATTTCTTTCAAATCCAAAACATCCAGGTATTTCCAAACGAGCCCCTTTTATTCAGGAGAAATTCAATTTCAAGAACGGTGGTGGAATTCCCAACCAAACCAGTCTAAAATCACGTCTCTGGTATCATGTTAGGAATTCCCACAGGTGTTTAGCATACATGAACATAAACAAGAGTAAATATGACATCAACCACAGTCTAGTAATATTTAAGTTTACAATATATAATATTTCATACATGCCTTGAAAAAAAAGATAAGAGGGATACAACTCTTCGCTTCCTGCGGTCAAGTCCACGTCATCGGTAGTAGCTACTTACTCCGCACTACTCCTTGCGTCGCCTGGAGGGGTTTAATACATTTGAAAACAAGAAAAGTGAGCGAAAGGCCCAGTAGGATATAATTTTATAAAACATTTAAAATAAAGGTACTCACGGTCCGAAGATATACACCCGGAACCGATCATTTCTTTTTTTTTTTTTGAAAAAAAGAAATACTCACATAATAGAATATGTCTGTATAATGAAAGTGTGCAGCTCATCATACCACTAAACAAGAAACGGTAAAAATGTCTGTCTAATGAAAAGGGCAGAGCCATAATTCCACTAAACAAGAAGTGAATCCGTACGGGTTTCGGGACCTGCCCCCAATGATGCGATTCCCACATCCCAATCTCTGAGGCCACCATGCATTGTATCATTCCTTAAAATATTTCATTTTAAGAAATGATACGCTTTGAAATCTCATTTCCAAAATCATTGGAAAACTTAATAGCATTCTCATGCTATTTCTTTAAAATCATTTTCTTTAAACATGTTTTGTTCTAAAACATTTTCATTGGCCAAAATCATTTAAAGTGAGGCTAAAAAGGATATGGACAAGAATATCCTACCTGTTGGATATCAAACCTGTGGCTATCTTCACGTAGCCCTAGCTCCGCTTGCCTTTGAGGCTCCAATTCCAATCGTGCCACTAACTTTCCCATCAAAATAAACAATTTAGAGTTTGACCTTTCTCATCAAACATCCTCGTTTAATTAGATGCAATTGTATCATATTAGTGTGCCATAGTTCAAAATCAATGTTCATAAACAATTCTTAATTCAAATCATGATTCTTTGTAGATAGAGATTCATTCTGGAGAATCGAATGGAAAATAAGGATTCATGTGGCTAATCCACTCATTTTGAGTTCTCAAATGAGGTTAGGTCAATCCCACATCGAGTTTCGGGGGCAAAAGAGGGTTTTCTGGGCTGTTTAGGGTCAGTTTCAGTGGGAACCGGTCGACCGGTGATAGAGGAGTGTAACTCCAGCGGTCAGCCAATGGAGAGGTGACCGGTCGACCGGATCGGTCGACCTATGGAAGGGTGACCGGTCGACTGGACCGGTCAACCGGTGGGGAAAAATTCCAGGGCCAACAATGGCCGATTCGTGAGGAACAAAGCCAAAACCTAAAAGTTTGGGTCCGATTTCGAAATATTCTCAAGGGAAATGCATAGATCCAGTTTCAAATCAACAAATAAGGTCCAAAGAATCAAAAGCCCCAAATTTTCATCAATGTTTCACCAAATCCCATTTGGATTCCATTTAAAAAAAATTTAAACCAAAAATCACCAAACTCGACTAAAACGAGTTCCACAAAGCTAAATCCGAAATTCTAAAGTAAGTTTCAAAGAGTTTTACCTCGATCCAAGCTTTGATGTTGAAAATCTCTTAGAAACCTTTGTTTTTGGTTTAAATCCGGCCCTTGAGAAAGAAAACTTTGAGAGAGAGAGGGGGAGATGAACGGGAGAGGGAGAGAGAGAGAGAGAGAGCTCGAGGTAGAGAGAGAGTAAGGAGAGAGAGAGTGTCGAGACAGAGAGAGAGAGGGAGAGTAATGTGAGGAAGGGAAAGGAAAAAGGAAAAGGAGAAATAGAAGGAAAAGAAAATTAGGAAAAATAAATAAAATAAATAGGGGTGAAATTGTAAATACTAAAATAAATTTTAAAAGCTCATGATTAATTAAGAAAATCAATTTAGGCACACTAATAAACCACAATTATCATAATTAAACAAGTTTAATTCCGGAGGGCGTTACACAATCCGTGTTTAAACGAGCTTATCAAAAACTCGCTAGCCGATTTTATAGGCCATATCAGATTGAAGAAAAGATTGGAAAGGTGGCCTGTAAGCTTAAACTTCCGGAAGGGTCTCGCATTCACCCGGTCTTTCACGTCTCATTACTTAAGAAGAAGTTAGGAGAAACCATTGCGCCTAGTATGGAGTTGCCACCTATTGCTAAAGATGGTGATCTTATCATGGAACCCGAAGTTATTTTAGACACATGTTGGGTCAAAAAAGGGTCCAAATTTATTGAAGAAAGCTTAGTCAAGTGGAAGAGACTTCCTGCAGAAGATGCTACATGGGAAAACTTTCAGGAAGTGCGAGACAGATTCCTGAACTTGAACCTTGAGGACAAGGTTCCAGTAAAAGAGGGGGGTATTGATAATCCTAGAAGATCTCAGAGAATGCCCATAAGAAATCCAAAGTATTATGATTAAGTGCCATTGGGCTTGGGCCGTGCAAGTAGTCAAGGATGGGCCAGGAACAATGGGCCATGCAAGGAGTGAAGAAGTTCCGGAGGACATGGTCTAATTATGGAATCATGTTACCAGCTTGCTGAAGAATAGGTCAAGAAGTTATTATTTTCATTAGAATAGGTTAAGAAGATGTTATTTCCATTTTTAAATAAGTGTGGCTACTCTATTGCTATTAGCCGTTAGTGTCCATATTCTTAGAAACGTGATCTGAGAATTAGGAAAGGTTGTTATTTTCCCTTGTATTTAAACTCTTTTCAAGGCAATAAGAAGGCAAGCTCATTCAGACTAAATTATGTGGTTATTCTCACCCTAAGTAGAATTCTATTTTCCATAATCCTATTAGCTTTGACTGGGACCTATCAAAATGGGGCTAGGGCTAGGGAGTTTTTGGAGAAAACATGAATCAGGGCTGAATGGAAAAGCCATTCCACAGCCTCCCCACGTGAATGGCCATTCACTCAAAATGAGTGAATGGGCTTTCCTACGTGAAACTAAACAATGGAATTAGGTGGAATGGTTTTTCCTTTTCATTCCATTCCCCCAACCAAACATAGCCAGAAACACGAGTGAATAGACAGAAAACCAGAAAACCACCGCATAAATAGACAGAACACCCATGACAGAAATAAACAGAAAACCAAGACCACGGGACAGAATCGTCATATCACTTTAAGAAAATAAAAAAGACCAACAAGTCCACCACCCACAAACGAGAGAAGCAGAAAGAAAAATGGCAAAAGCGTGAGAATACTATTGCAAAAACGTAGCCTGTTTAGTTCATGAATTAGAACCATGAGATTAGAACAATTTTCAATTTACGTGTGTTTTTTGTGAGAAAATACTGTAATGAACTATGAACCATAATTCAAATCAGAGAACGAATCCTCTAACTAAATATAGTTGTGTGGATGAACAGTACAGAACGGGTTTCCTTTAGTATATAGTAATAATTTGAACAAACTCTTCTGCCTTCAAATTTTGGATACAATTTTTTTTAATAAAAAAATAAGAGAAAATTTGAAAATGTCACTATCTCGTGGGTGTCACGTGACGAGCAGCCAAGTCTACCAATCACAACAAAGCAAACCAAACTAAATCTCAGCCGTCCATCTTATCTGCATCAGAAATCATTCCCACAAAGCACACGTCGTAGTTATTCCCCTCTCACTTACACCTCTCTCTCTCTCTCTAACCCAAGTTGGAGTCGGCCACAAACAAACCCTCTCTCGTTCTCTTCTCTTCTTCTGGAAACCCCAAAAGTCCAAATCTCAGATATATATATGCATACATATATACACATATATTTATAGAAAGAGATAGAGAAGGAGAAAGGTGTTGAATTGAATTGAATTGAATTGAGATGGATTCGGATCAGGGGAAGCTATTCATTGGCGGAATTTCGTGGGAGACGACGGAGGAGAAGCTCAAGGAGTACTTCGAGAACTATGGCGATGTTTTGCAGACCGTCGTTATGAGGGAAAAGTTCACCGGTCGGCCCAGGGGTTTCGGCTTCGTCGTCTTCACAGATCCCTCCGTTCTCGATAGGGTTCTTCAGGACAATCACTCCATTGATGGTCGAACGGTCAGAAATTCGTTCAATTCTTGATTTTATTCGATTGTTATTAGTTTTCTTTTGTCCAATTTGTTGAGATTGACTAAAATTCAGGGGCTTTATTGTTGATTATTGGTTTTCTAGGGATTGTTTGGGTGACACTAATTACGCAGACATAATTTGCCGTATATTGCTTAATTGAATTATGTTGTTGTTGTTCTTTTAATCCAATTTGTTGAGATTGAATGAAATTCAGGGGCTTTGTGGTTTTCTATGGCTTGTTTTTGTGAATTTTATTTTATTTTTTATTTTTTGGTTTTTGAAAAGTGTAATGATACTCGGTTGCAATATGTGGTAAATTATATCTCCATAATTAGTGTTACCCAAACAAGCCCTTAGTATTCTGTTTGAAAGTAATTGTTTATTAATAGCTTTCTGTTATTGAATGGCTTTCCGTACTCTGTACGAGGTTAATTATGTTCGGAATTCATGTCATTATTGGATTTTCTTGCCAGTGCTACCTTTTTTCTATGGTGGACCTTGGTTTCTTACTAAAGATTACCAATTGCTTAAATATATGCACACATGTATACATATATATTTTCAGCACTTAATTATATGAAGTTATAATTATAAATATTTTGTCCTTCTTGAATTTGGGTTCTTTCTGCTAACTGGTTGAATTTGATCCCTGGATTCGAAAAAGCTGTCATTTCTTCTTTAATAGCTAGCGTTTTATGTTTCAGGTTGAGGCTAAAAGGGCCTTATCAAGAGAGGAGCAGCAAACCTCCGGGCGAGCCGGAAACTCTTACCCTGCGAGAAACTCTGGTGATGGTGGGAATGTCAGGACCAAGAAGATTTTTGTTGGAGGGTTGCCTCCCACTTTAACTGAAGAAGGTTTTCGGGAGTATTTTGAAGCTTATGGGCGTGTAACTGATGTAGTAGTTATGTACGACCAAAATACAGGACGACCTCGTGGCTTTGGATTTATTTCCTTCGATGCTGAAGATGCAGTTGATAGGGTTTTGCACAAGACATTTCATGATTTAAATGGTAAGCAAGTGGAAGTAAAGCGGGCTCTTCCTAAAGATGTCAACCCTGGTGGAGGTGGCCGCACAATGGGTGGCGGGGCTTATCAGGGATATGGGACATCTGGTGGAAACCAAAATACTTATGATGGTCGAATGGATTCCAACAGGTTCATGCAGCCTCAGAATACTGGTGGTTTTCCACCTTATGGTTCTTCTGGTTATGGTGCACCTGGATATGGATACGGTCCTTCAAATAATGGAATAGGTTATGGCAGTTATGTGGGTGCCAATACTGGCTACACTGGCCCTACTGGTACTGCCTATGGGAATCCTAATGCTCCTAATACTGGTTATGCGGGTGGTCCACCAGGTGGCCGAAATTCATGGAGCACACAGGCCCCTGCAGGGTATGGCACCATGGGCTATGGGAATACCGCTCCCTGGGGTGTTACAAGCAGTGGTGCTGGGGCAGGCAGTGGGGTCCCAGGTTCTACTCCCCCAGGTCAATCTCCGAGTGCTGCTGGGTATGGAACTCAAGGATATGGTTATGGTGGGTATAATGGTGGTGATGGGTCCTATGGGAATTCATCCGGGTATGGTGCTGTTGGTGGGCGTTCTGGGAGTATCCTAAACAGTGTTAGTGGTCCAGGTGAACTACAAGGAAGTGGCAGTGGCTACTTAAGTGGCTATGGTGATGCAAATGGAACATATGGAAATGCAGCATGGAGGTCTGATCAGTCACAAGCTTCTGGAAACTATGGCGTTCCTCAAACAAATGGTGCGCAAGTTAGTTATGCCAGTGCTGGGTATGGTAGTGCTCAGGGCCGACAAGCACAACAGCAGTAATTTTAATGGTTGGAAGTTTAATTGAACCTTGATCTTCCTCTGATGGATTGGCGGCATGGGGTCACAATGGTTTCTCATTGCCAGCTGCAGCAGCCTCAATTTGGATGTCGATTCTCTTTGGGACTGGTTGGATTGCTTGAATCCCAGTAGTTTGCAGCATCTATTTTGCTAGTCTATAATAAATAATAGTCTTAGGGCATTACAGATGCTCCTCTTATTTAGTATTTTGCAATGAGTGTAGTTTTAATTTGGTGTGCTTATTACGTCTACTAGCTGGCATTTTTCTCCTTCGTCATAGTGTTTAAGCTAAAGTAGCTTATATAACCTTATTTATTTATGTTTGCTTTATTACATTAGTATTCTAGTGTTGACATCTCGCTTCTAATTGTTTTTCAGTTTATATAATAATTGATATGTTGTGTTGTTTCTTATAAAAAGGAATACATTTCAGTTTTTCAAAAGGATAAGATGATTTAGGAATTTAGTAATTCTGTAGTTTTGATTGATTTCATATCGCAAGTAGGAAAGCAGGGATGTAGGAGGTTTTTACTGATAGCAATGGAGCTATGGGAAGATCACTTCGTTTAGGTAGCCGTAGTGCCTAGTGGTAATGGTAGTTGACACTTTGTCGATGGCATAATCATTTTCCCCCTGTATTTGCCCTTGTGTTGTACAGGAGGAGAGGTGCGCAAGTTCTAAGTGAAGTGTCCACTCATGGCTGAACACGAGCTTCATAGTGGGTGCATCTTCACTTGAGGGGTGTTCGGCATGGAATGGAAGTTGAGGAGTTTGTTCAGTTGAAATTATGCTTTTTACTGAGACAATTCTCCAGCCAGACCAACATTGTGAAACTTTGCAGATTCCTCGGCATCCCAAGTCACTAATTTTGCAATGACTTGGTTTTGTGGTCGCGTAATGGAAATTGTGAGGTGACAGCCTACGGTATGTTGAGTAATAGAGTAGTAAAAGTGCTGGTCCACTTTTGGATTTTATTGTGTAAAGGCTGTCTTTCGATTGCTAGGAGTATCATTCCATATGATTCCTAATGTGTTAGATTCCTAATGTGTGTTAGACTACAAAAAAGGTGTTGAAAACAGTTTTCATGAATTTCAGAAGGAAGCAGTAGATCTTCTAATTTGCTCGATTGCTACATGTCTTTTAGGAAATAGGATAAATTAGTTCAAGTACTTGAATTAGTTTCTTACTCTGCATTGTTTGGGAAATAATTTATGACTTCCATGTGAAATCAATACATTCGTTTAGGAGTCTTCTCTTCATTTCTGATGTCAGAATAACTTTCATTGGCCCTCTTTTATGTGGTGGAAGGAATACAAGTTGGTGGTGCTTTTTCACCTTAAAGTGGGGTGAGGTGTTGCAAGTTGAAGAACAACATTTGAGGAACACAAACAATTCCTTTCAATTTGAACTTTTTTTTTTTTTTATTGATTTATATATTGACAAACAAAAGAATAACTCTAGGCTTTTTACTACGTGATTCTTGTTTGGTGAATTAGCATTGCCATATAGGATCCACTATAATGCTTAAATTCTTGCATTGCACCAGCAAATAGCAATATTGAATAATTGATTTATAATGTTAAGTGCTAAGCTAATCTTTTCTTAGCACACTCTTTGTTTCATATACTTAAAAGACTCAAATTATTAATTTTGTTACAGTATTTTCTCTAACAAAAAATTTGAATTTCAAAGGTCAAAATCAAGAATCAAAATATCTTCTAAATGGTCTTTAATATTTTTCAAAGCAGTTTTCAGAAAATCATTTGTTGTGCTATCCTGTTTTTATCTGGTTTCAAAAGTTGATTCCATTCTCCCCAATCTACACAATTTTTCTTTCTGTTTTTCTTTTTCCCAAAAAAAAAAGAAAAAAAAAAAGAGTAATGTTAAAGGCTTAACGTTTCAAAGGATTCATACGACTGATTTACACCAAACAATGTTCGGTTCCTCGTACAAAGAATGAAAGATCATCATGGAGAATGAAAGGTGGAAAATTGAACAAAATAAAATCTATTTGTCAACAAGCAGAAGGAAAGCTCTTGTATGGATTGCGAAATGCTGCGACATTGCCTGGACGTGAAAACACAATCTGCAATTTTACACGAATTTAAAAGGGGTTAGTCCTAAATTAGGTAAGATTAATAGAAGTTACATGAAATAATTACCGATTTGCAAATCTTTTCATTTGCAAGAACAAGTGGATTAAAGAAAAATGGTACGTTTTTGGAAAGATTTTGTACCTGGTAATTTCCGAGCGTATGGGACTTGAAACCTGCCGCGCAATAATCAAAATAATACTCCCATGTCCTAATGAATTTTTCATTGAATCCAAGAGCAAGAATCTCACTGAAAAACAAAAACATCAAAATCTTAAATGCTGAAAGCATCTCAAACATTAAGCATGAAAGTTGATTAAAACAAATATTTGTACAATTTTACGTTGTTAATTCCGAACCTTTGCTTCTCCAAGAAATTCTTCCTCCAACACCTGAGAGTTTGGTGGTAATGAATTCCAATGTTTTCAATGTGTTCCACACTGCAGTTCCATTAATTTTGTGCAAACAAAGGAAATAAGTGAAAAGGAAAAAAAAAAAGTCAAGACTTAATCAACAAAACCATGCTTTAAACGAAGGGAAAAAAAAAAAAAAAAAAAAAAAAAACAATACCAGAGCCTGGATGCAGCAGCCATGGCAGATGTTACTCTACTTAACGAAGGTAGACATCCACCGGGAAAAATGTACTCCTTAATGAAATCTGAACTTCGTCTGTACTCGTCATATCTTTCATCCGGGATTGATATGAACTAACAGAAATTAAAAAAAAAAATGTTACGTTTGAGCAGAAGTGTTACCAAAGAGAAGCATGCAATTTTATTTTTTATTTATTTTTGTTGCATGTAATGATTACCTGGAGAACAAGAAGGCCATTTTCTGCTAGTGCGGATTCACAGCTACCGAAAAAGTCTTCCATGAACTCATGGCCAACAGCTTCTAACATCTCACTGAAAAAAAAAA